ATTTGGTTTCTTTGAATCTCTTTGGTTATAGTTCACCCATGACTATGTAATAAAATTCTCTATTTGAAATTTGGAGGTGATTTTTATCAAGTAATTAGAAAATACTAGTTGTAAATGATTTTAGCTTTGTGGTGTTAAAAGCATGTGAAGCATTTGTCGCGGTGAGAGTTGCCACCGGTTGGTTTTATGGCATGGTGGAAAGGGGTCCAATTTTAAAATGAAATGACTCTTATTGCCAAGATAGTCTTCAGAGATTAATGTATCTGGGCATTAATCTATTTAAAGCATTATTTTTTTCTATCACACCCTGCCTTTTTCCCTTAAACTATTATTGTATATGTATGTAGTAAGCTAGTTTCTACATTTGTTTCTATTTTAGAATATAAACTTAGGCAAGAAATATCTTGTTATTTGGTGCTGAGTATATCATAGTCTTCTGATTGTACACATGAGTATGTTTGAAGATACTGAAGATAATAAAATTTGAGTTCTTTTGGGGGACTTTTAGGCATGTGCAGTGGTTTAGCTAGATCTGTGAATTATTAGCACTTGAATCAGTTTAGTGAGAAAAACTTGCTATAACTTTGTTACATAACTTTGACTTTTTTTTGAAAAAAATTCACATATATGTCTGTGTATGTGTATGTCACCCAACCCCATTAAATTTCAACAAATTCCCCAAAGATAACAAAGGACCTCCCTTTCCTTGAATAAATAGGCAAATAATGTAGCTGGACAGTGTTTAGTAGTAGGTCCAAGTTTTAATTTTGTGGTGTGTTAAACTGTGGCAAGTAGAATACCATGTTTCCCTGAAAATAAGACCTACCCATAAAATAAGCCCTAGCAGGATTTCTAAGCATTTGCACAATATAAGCCCTACCCCAAAAATAAGACTGAGTGATGGGCGTGGCTACGCAGTGTATCTGCACAACCCATGCATTTCGTGGCAGAGCGGTAAAGAAGACGAGCAGCCCTTCTCATCTGCCCCATCGTGACAGCTACTATCCCAGAGGTGACCGGAAAGGTGCTGGCAGCCCCACCAACAAGGTTGGCTCCCCCTGTCAAGTCCCGGTCATCCTGTGTGTGCTGCAGGCTGATGCTTTGAGGGGAAAATAACACATCCCCTGAAAATAAGCCCTAGTGTATCTTCTTGAGGAAAAATAAATATAAGACCCTGTCTTATTTTCGAGGAAACACGGTAGAAATTAATTGGTGGATTATAACACAATTATTTGTATAGTCATAATTTTTCTTTGGGAAAAATATGGCTAACACTGACTTTCTCTTATCTACCGTAAAGAATGTTGGGATATGCTTAGATTAAATTTATTTACATAATATAAATGTAAATTTTGCAAAGTTCAGTTTATGAAATTTTAAAAAATTGACTTGTAGAGGAGTACCTGTATTCGGGTGGATGATTGCTGAGTTGCTGCCTGGAACTTTTTGTGATTTTTGCTTTTCTTTGCCCTCTGCTTTTAGCCTTTTCCTAGCCTTGTGTAATTAGTGTTGGTTTTATTATATGTGTATGGTATAACAGTCAGTCAGGTGTAATCATGTGCTAAAAACAAACCAAGGGAAAAATATTAAGACAGGTTCATTTTAAAGGTAGCAGTTATAAAAGTATGAGAAATTACCCAGAAATATTTTTCACAGCTGCATAGGACTCATTTGTGTATATGAATGATAGATTATTTTACCAATCTCTTGTGTTTGGATGTTTAGATCGATTTAATCCTGCAATTACAAATAATCCTTTAATGAATAACCTTGTGCATATGTATTTTCATGTTGTTGAGGTATATTTGTAAGATAAATTCCTAGAAATGGGATTGCTGGCTTGAGGAAAATGGACATGTAATTTTGTTATATGATGCCAAATTCTTCTCCTTGGGGTTTTAGCATTTTGCATTTTCACCAGCAGTGGATGAGAGTGCCTGTTTTTTTTTCACAGCCTTGCCAACAGAGTGTATATGTTATCAAAGATCAGCAAAGCCAAATAAAGTGGTAAGGACAGGTTTTAATCAGTAGTATACTATTACAGTAGGGAAAAGAGTCCAGATTGAACTAACCTTAACTTTGATTTGTACAAAGGTGATGGAGGGGTGAGGAACTGGGGACGGAGTGCAGGGGCTTAGAGTCAGAAGAGTGACAAAAATTACAAAAGAGAGGGACAGAGCCATTGGTCCATGTGAAACCTGTCTGGGCTTACTAACCAGCACTTAGGGGTTGGGCCCCTACCCTCCCACAGAGGCCGGGCCCTATCTTTAGGTGTTGGGTGGAACAAATAGTGAATTCTTTTGGCAGCCTTGCGTTTTCTTAGGCAGGCACTTTAAAGGGGGCTAGGGTCATCCTAAGGATATGTTCTTGAGCCATTAGAAACTATGATAGTGTTCCTTCAAGTTATTTTAGGCCAGTGTTCAGGCCTAATTGAGAAGAGGGCTCAGAGGAGCTTGGCCAGAGTTTGGTTAAGGAGAGAATCCTTGTCAGTGGTCAGCTTTAAAATTTTTGCCCATCTGATGGTGAGAATTTGTATTTTACTGTAGTTTTAATTTATATTTGTCCTATTACAAGTAAAATTGAACATGCTTTCATGTTCAGTTAAGGGCTGTTTTTATATCTTTGCTTGTGAAGTGTGTTCATGTGCATTCTTCCAATTTTTCTATAGGATTTTTGGCCTTTTTTCCCCAAACTTTTGAGTTCTTTATAAATGTGGGATATGAGCTCTTTATTGTGAATGTATGTTGTGAACAGTTTTCAAGTTTATCATTTATCTTTTGACTTTGCTCATGGTGTTTTTTTTGCCATAAAATGCTGTTTTTATTTTTATGTAGTAAAATTTATTACATTTTACTTTTATTACCTCTGAATTTTGAGTTATAATTAGAAAGCCTTTTCTGATATCAAAGTTAGAGTAGAATTGATTCTTAGTTTTTCTAGTGCTAGTATAGTTTTATTTTTTATATTTAGATCTCTTATCCATTTGGAGTTCATTCTTGTGTGTTATGAGGAATAGGTCTAATTTTGTCTTTTTCCAACTGACTATCCAGTTGTGTCAACATTATTTGTGAAAAAAGACTATCTTTGCCTAAGTGATGTCAGATGCCATCTTATCATACACTAGATTTTTTAACGAGGCTGGATCTATTTCTGGACTTTTTTATTGGTATCTTAGTAAATTTATAAATTAGTTAGAACTGACATTTTGATGATGTTGAGAATAAGGGATGGCTTTCTGTTTGTTCAAGTCTACTTTTATATTTTTCAGGAGTGTCATATAGTTTCCTTCATGAGTTTTTGATCATTTCTTAAATTTTTTCTTAAAAATTTTATTTCCCTTGTTATTGTAAATGACAATAATTTTAAAAAATTAAAATTATTGTCATTTAATAATTTTTAATTTTATTGTCATTTAATAATTTTAATTCAGTGTATCTTCTAAGTGGTTATTGTTTGTATATGAATGCTGAGGTTTTTTTGTATGCCAATTTTATAACCTGCTACCTTGCTGAACTCTTTTATTGTTTGAGTTTTATCATTGATTCTGTAGGACTTTCTAGGTGTATTATTGTGTCATTAACAGAAATAGTTTTATTTCTTCTTTTTAAATTCTTTTTCTAATTGTTTTCTGTAGTCTAATTGCATTGGCTGATATCCTAGATCATTATTAAATAGTAGTTGAGATAATAGGAATCTATGCTTTGTTCCTGACCACAGTGGTTATGCCTTAGAGTTTTCTCATCTTAAGGAAATATCCATCCATTCTTATTTTTGTACAAGTTTTTATTAGAAACGGGTGTTGAATTTTGTCAAAGGTTTTTTTGTTTTGTTTTGTTTTCCAGTTTCTGTTGAGATACTTGTTTGGCTTTTCTCCTTGGACCTATTAATAGGGATAGTTATATTATATTAATAGATTTTATAAGATTAACCCATTTTAGCATTCTTGGCTTAAACCCTATTTGGATAGTCTGATTCCAGAGCTTAACTCCTCTATTTTACTGTTTCCCAGTTTAGTTTCAAAGATTTGATGTGCTTATTCAAAAATGTACTAAGTCATACAGGCTAGTACTTTTATGAATTGCTAAATGAATGTTTTGGTAAATGAGTTTAGATGAGGGAGAGATCATCACTGGGTGAAAAAGCTTTTTAAAAGAGTAAAGACCACTACTAACTGTGACATCCTGTCAACCACACCGTAGCTATGCTTGCTGTATTGTATTTCCACTGGCTGTCTTGGAGGGCTTACTTATACCAGAGTCAGTCTTTCAGTGTTTTATCAAGCATAATCAGTTGTGGTGGGTTGATCACAAGCTAAAGACATGCTAGAAAAGCTCAAATGATGGAAGAAATGCTGTATTATGACAAGTGGGAAAACTGCAAAATAGAATAAGAGGGCAGGATGGCAAACTAATTGTTTTTTATGAAGGATAAAGAAAAAAATCATGCATTTCCATTAGGGAGACGATTTGGGATTATATATGTTTCATAGCCTGTTTATATAAAACATTACTTTAAAATGTTGTGAGATATAGACTGCCTATATCTATACTGATTTAAAGAATTTAGAGATTGTCAAAGGTGTTTGCTTAATTTACACAAATGAAATGTTTAAGTTGTAAATCCTACCTCCTCTTTGCAAGTTATTACTCAGGTCCAAGGATAGATATAAAGCTGTGTTTGCATGTTTAGAAGCATGTTTTGAAAAAATACTTTTTGTGAAGTTTACATTGCTGTTTATTAGAACACTTGCTAATTCAATAACTTCTTGTAGACTTTATGGTTCTGTGACTACAATTTGATTCACAGCATATAGACTGATACTCCTAATAAGTACTAAAAGCCCATGTGGAAATGGGAATTACTGAAATAAATTTTCTTACCACTGAGTTTTCTCTTTAGCTATGTCATTTGAAGAAATTTTCTTAGTTATCTCTAATTTTCGAATAAATTTGATTAATAACATGTTTTATTTGAAAATTGGCTCTCATCATTTTCTTTAGCACGTTACACCAGACAGCTATATTCCGTGCCTTGCGGACTTGTGCAAAGCACTGTGGGAGGTTATGCTCAGCTATTACAGGACTATGGAATGGCATGAAAAGCATGACAATGAGGATACTGCTTCAACTTCTGGTAGGAAATTATTTTGATTTTGTTTTCAAAATTGAACTATAAATATGCCACATTACTGAAGTAAGAAGAAAGAAGGGGGGGAGCAGGCATGCGTTTAGGTTTTCAGAGACTATAGTATCTGTAGGTTAAATCTTCAGCAAAGTAGTTCAGCTACTCTAGAAGCTCCATTTCCTTTGGGGATTACCTGGGCCAAAGGAATTTTCAAGTGGCAGATAGTACTAGTTTCTAGGAGTGTGTGCTGAGGGCCTTAGGGCTGAATTACTGGGAAAGAGTTTTTTTTTTTTTTAATATTTCTTTAATATAATTAGTTACAAAGTAGGTAAGACATTGATATGTCCAAATTTACTTTGAAATTAATGTTAGATGTTCAATATTAATCTATTTTGCTATTTTCAAGTTGGAGTAATAATGCTAGATTCTGAGAATTAATAATTATATTAATACTTTCCATCCTGAAAATACTGCATTTTTTTTCATTAAAAAATGTTTTAAAATCTTCGTATTTGCATGGAAAATACAACTTTAAATGACCATGATATATAGTTAGCTAAATAATAAAAACAAGTCTTTGAGAAATTATGTTCACTAGGTATTCTATTTAAATTGCTTCATTTGCATAATTATATGTCTTAAGTAATTATCCTTGAACAGTAGCTAACATTAAGTATTCAAAATAGTTTTAAAGCGATAAAAGCTTGATTTCTGTTATTAGGTGGGTGGAGGAAACACCCAAACCTCACTGATTAAACATAAGATTTTGGTAGCTTGGAAGAGATAAATTTAATCTTTGTCTTGACTCATAAGAAGCTCATAGATATAGAAATCAAAAATAAGAGAGAAAAATTTTATGGATGAATTTTCACTCATGTAGAAATATTATTGAGGATGGTAAAAGAAGGGAGAGAAAGAGGAGAAAGCAGAAAGAGGGATGAGCACTCAGCCTGGATTCCAGGCCAGACTGGTTTTACCCAACCCTAATACTCTTCTTACCCCAGTACTCTATCTGGGAGTGTAGGCTTTGTAATCTGAGGGCCTTGCTTCAAGTTTTCACTGCTGTTTACCAAAGGTGAGAACTTGAGGAAATTGCATCATCTTTTCCAGTCTTCAGTGTGTTTCTTAGAATGGTAGGCTAGAAAACAAATGAAACCCCCCGTAGAGTAGTAACTCATCTACTTGGCAGGGTTGCTATAAAGTTTAGAGAGAGAGAGAAAAAAAAAGTTTAGAGAGAATGTAAGGTGCTTACATGGTGGTAGTTAATATCATGAAAGGAAATGGATCCATAGATAATTATACTAATGAGTGATGTTGGTAGGGCCTTTTTTTTTTTTTTTTAATCTCTGGTTACTTAGAGATTTAAAATCTTAAAGATTAGAGATTTTAAAAATCTTTTAAAAGATTTTAAAGATTTTAAAATTTTTTAAATCTTTAAATCTTAGAGATTTAAGAGACTTTTTAAATCTCTGGTTACTGGTGACTTTCCTGAACTCACTAGATTGCAGTTTTCCAAAAGTTTTGGCAACCTTTATATTTTTTCTAGATGTGGATACTTAAAACATTTCATCAATTCTTTTTTTCTTTTCTAGTACCTTATTTAAAAGGAAAAGTTTAGAATAGAATTAACACATACTTTAGAGGTAAGAATTTAGGGGACATTATCTATATTTTCATCATGGTGAAGTTTGCTTTTTGTTATAGGCCGATAGTTTACAATCATCTGAGTACTGAGTCAAACTTAAAATTCCATTGGAGCCTTATATACTTAGTCCTCTTTAGTAAAATTCCTTGACTCTAATATGTATATTTTATGAATATTCAGGTAGTCTTATTAGTCTAACAGTAAGTCGATAGAATCTAGGACTCTAAAAAGTTACTTGTTCACCTGAAATGAATCCTTTCATATTCGTATTCAGGAATTAAATTGTAAGAATCAGTCATTTGAAAATTATTTTTCACAGAACTTCATAAAACTGAAGAGGACTCTAGAATTCATCTGCTATAGCTCTGCATTGATAATATTTGGTACTATTTGGTATCCTTACACTTCAGTGTTCTAAAATAAAACTCCAAAGCTGTCATTTAGATGTGCTGTCATAGGCTGCTGGGTCCCTAGCAGCCATATACCATGCATATAATGAGGCTTAAGCTCTGGGAATGCTCAGAGGTAAACTAGTCATGTATCTGGTGCCTGGCACGTGTGAGGGCCTTTTACTAGTTCTCAGAGGACACCCTACTAGCTTAAAAGGAGATGATAACATACTCACCCATTTGTTCCATACAGGTTATTCACACAAAGGTATAATCTTTTTAATATAAATGTGTATATGTATTTTCAATTGTGTTTAGAGGAGGATTTGTTATGAGGCAGATCAATGATCTTACCTACTGAACTTGACATTGTTAGCTTATTTATCTGGAATGGATAAAACTATGTATATCATGAGAAATATAAAATATAAATGGATGTATCATGACCTCACTGCCCAAGCAGTTGTCAATCTGTACTCTTATTAGCATGCATGTTGATAATTGGGTTAATTGGCCCTATAATGCCCTGGCAGCCTGTTACATGGTGTTACAGCATGCAATATATGGACATTAAGAACCTAGTCTCTGGGACCACACTGACTGAATTGGAATCCCAGCTCCAATCACATGAACTGAGTGGTCTTTGGCGCATTTAGCATTTCATGGCCTAAGTTTATCTAACCAAATGGGTTTAATCCTAATAGCTGTTTTTTTTAATATTGCTTTGACTCTATAAATATTGAACATATTTTTGGTATCTTACATAGGCTCATAGCATATGAGAGGTCAAACATATTATTTGGAAAACAAAAACACATTAAAGTAAGTCTAAAAATGTGTACCATCTTTTTTTCAGAAGGAACTAGTATGATGGGTACTGAAGAAACTAATTTTGATCGTGGCTATGTAAAAAAGAAGTTAGAGCATGGACTTACACGAATATGGCAGGTTTGGTTTTTTAAAATTATTTTTTCACAGAAACAATAGAAACCTTTCATGTCAAAGTTGTTTTTAGAAATTGAGTTTTGAAATTTTCTATATTTATATTCTTTGCAGATTTAATCATGTGTTTTTCTTTGGAAAAAGGCTATCATTTAATTTAATTTCTGTAATGTAGTTGGCAGTTATATTGGACTATAAGTATGTAGGGAAAAAAAAGTCTTTTTATTTGAAAATCTCCATTGGAAATAATTTAATTAATACATTCTTTGATTATATTTTTGTTTTAGAGACTTAGCAAATTTTTGCTTTCCTGAAGAAATGTATGCCTTCTTATTGAGCTGTTCTGTTTATTTTTATTTCATTTATTTGTGTTTTCTTAATTTCCTTTTCTATTAATTTTAGTAAAGGAATAACTAAGTAGGTTACATACATCGGTTAGAATCTAGTATGGAATAAAAAGTTTTTTCTCAGCCAATGATCTTTCTGCCCTGAAGAATCTTAAATGCTTATTGGTTGAATATATCTGTTTTTCATCTCTTTGGGATGCTAAAACAAAATACCCTAGACTGGGTAGCTTATAAGCAACAGAAGTTTATTTCTCAGAGTTCTAGAGGCTGGAAGCTGGAGATCAGGGCGACAGCATGGTTGGGATCTGGTGAGAGCTCGCTTCCTGATTCATAGATGCCTTATTTCTGTATTGTCACGTGGTAGAAGAGATGAGGAAGCTTTCTGGGGTCCCTTTTAGTGTAAAAATGTGTTCCTTTTTTTATTTGAGAGAGAATTTATCTTCTAGTTAGAAAAGTTGAATGTTTAAAAATTAAGTATTGTAGTTTGTTTGGTGAATCATTTGTTTGTGATTTTTGCTCAATTTATTTCATAGATTCTAATGACTTGTGATAATGACTAATCATTTGTTATTGTTTGAGTCTTGTTTCCATTTGTTTTATTTTCAGTATGTAGATGGTTAGCATTTTTATGAGGCCAAATATTGACCTTTTTTTTTGTGAGTTCTCAATGCTACATTTATTGTTAAAATGTTCTTTCCTAGGTAAAGCTCAGCTAAATATTCATCTGATAATTATAAATATTCATGTAAACTTGATATTGTTATGTTCTTAACTAGAGTACTGTCTGGAACAGTACTGTTAATAACTAGAGTACTGTCTGGAACACCTAATACTCAGAGACTATTTTTGCTTTATTGAAGTAATCTATAATTTCTAATTTTATGTTTTTGAAAAGATACAAAAGCATTTAATCCATTTTAAATTTCTTTTGATACATGATGTGAAGAGAAAATTTTTTCTCCCAAATCTAGTCAGTTTTCCCTTCACTGCTTACTGGATAATCCTTTTTACCCGCCTTTTCATTTATGATACCTCATTGTTGTAAGGTGCAATGAAAATAGAAGACTGAGGGAAGACAGACCTGGGTTCAGTGCTTAGCTTTGTCCTTCACTGGGCATGTGAGCTTTGGTATCACCTCTTTTTAGTGTCTCTTCTTCTAGAGAGATAATAGATGCTTGTTCAATAGGGCTGTTGCAGGATTAAAGATAATATGTAAAGTTCTTGGCATAATGCTTGACACAGAGTAAATAATCAGAAAATAGGAGTTTTTACTACTATTTATTAAGCCATTTTATGCCCACACACACTCTCTTCTGTGTTATTTGTCTTAGTCTATTGATTTCTCTGTATATTGTTACTAACATATTGCTAGCATTTTTAAAAATAGTTTTTTATATATTTAAAATAGATAGTACAAGTCTTCCAACATTACTCATAACTTTTACTTCATCTCTTCAAAGCTTTATTTTTTAAAAAGCTGTTATTGACTCTTATTCTTTTAGGTGGATTTTAGAGTGATTGTTCAGAAGAAAGGATTTTTTTATGGTTTTGGTTTAAATTTCATAGAACCTGTAGATTAATTTGGGAAAATTGACATATTTACGCTAGTAACCCATCCAGTCCCATAACTCTCAATTTAGTACAATTTATTTTCAGATTTCTTTTTGTATCTCATTAGAGTTGTTAGCTTTTTCTTAGCGGTCTGACATTTCTTATTAAGATTATTCCTAGTATGTTATATTTTTAATCTATTTTAAATGGAATCTCTCCATTTTAAGGTGCTATGATAGGGATACATGAAAGCTATCGATTTTTATATATTGTATTATACATAATCACTTAAGGTAGTTATCTTCTGATTTTTTTGAATTGATTATTCAACCAATTGATTATTATTTCTAACCAACCAAACCATGCATAAATAATAATGAGTTTTAGTCTCATATCCAGCATGAGTATATAATTTTACTTACCTTATGTGTGTGGGTATGTGTATGTGTGTTTTACATTGGCTAGAAATTTATAGGACTGTTAAATTATAGTGATGATTGTGACCATTACTATTTTCTATCTGGTATTTGTTAGATTTCTATCTGGATTTGTATTTATTATATCACCCTTGAAGATGTTGGCTGTTGGCCTAAATAGATATTCTTTAACAAGTTAAGAATATATTCCTGTCTCATTTTAATCTGTAACTATAGAATAAATGGTTCTGAAAACTTATTTTCTATATTTTGGCTTATTTGAAATTTTTTTTTTTTGTCTTACAGGATGTTCAGCTAAAAGTAAAAACCTATTTACTTGGAACTGATTTGTCTATATTTAAATATGATGATTTCATCTTTGTTTTGGATATAATAAGCAGGTAGTGTTTGACATCTTATTTTTTAGTTTGATTCATTCAACCATTGTAATCAAAGAAGTCATGAGTGAATTATATATAGCCAGAGAAAAGAGATAATCATGCATTCATAAGCTAATTGCTGCTGGGTTTGTCTGTTTAAATATTTCTGCCTTTTGGATATTTGTAAACCATAATGGATTTTGTGATCTTTAGAATTTTTTCAAATATCCACATTTTTATGATTTGTTATCCTTGAAGAAAGAGAACCTGGACTTCTTTTTCTCTTTAAGGGTATTGCTGAAATTTGCATAACCTTTCTATCCAACTAGGTTGATGCAAGTTGGAGAAGAATTTTGTGGTAGCAAGTCTGAAGTTTTGCAAGAGTCCATTAGAAAACAAAGTGTCAATTATTTTAAGAACTACCACAGGTAAGAATGCCAATAAAATATGAATAAACTTATTTAGGTAATGAGAATACTTTTTTCTAATGTTTAATCTTTTAGCATTAGTTGAATTAAAACAATTACTTTTGAATTTGAATCAATATGTTCTTTGTAGCTTTTCTTGGGATGATTGAAGATTTTTTTTTAACCAAAAATATGATAAAATGTTCTCATTACCTATTAATGGTAAATCTTAATATATTCTTTGGCACGTGGGGCTCAAAATATTGAAATAAATATTGAACTGATTTCTTTATGGGTAAAATATGATTACATCAGGGTTTATGGAAAGAATTTGGCCACTGTTCCATGCCTGCATATAAGGTATGAGCTAGTAAGGAAATTAACTAAGTGTGGTAGCACTCAGTGAGTGGCTGTTAGAGAGCAATCTGTCTTTTAAGACTAAGAAGGCTTTAGAAGACGGGACATGATATTTAGAATCTAGCTACAAAGCCAAGGATGTGTACTACATTGCTTTGCAAAACAATCACTGCTAACTTTTAAAAGAGTGACTAGGAATGGTTTTGGGAGTGGAGAAATGTGGGAAAGAATACTCATATAGCAATGTGATTGTATGCTTAAAGTGATCAAAGAAGAAATCATATAGAAAATATTTTAAACTGAATAATGATAAAAGTATGATATCAAAATTATGGGATAGTTAAAGCAGAGGGATGAATTTCTAGTTTTAAATACATTTTTTGGAAAAGAATAAATTTAAAAATCAATGCTGTAAACTTCTATTTCTAGAAGTTACAAAAGGATAACAAATCAAGCCAAGAGACATAAGGGGAAGAAAATTGTAAGAATAAAAATCAATAAAATAAAAAGCAAATGTATAACAGAAAGAAATCTACGAAGGTAGTAACAAGACTGAGCAAGAAAAAGAAAGAAGCCAGGCGTGGTGGCTCACGCCTGTAATCCTAGCACTTTGGGAGGCCGAGGCGGGTGGATTGCTCAAGGTCAGGAGTTTGAAACCAGCCTGAGCGAGACCCCGTCTCTACCAAAAATAGAAATAAATTAATTGACCAACTAAAAATATATATACAGAAAATTAGCCGGGCATGGTGGCGCATGCCTGTAGTCCCAGCTACTCGGGAGGCTGAGGCAGTAGGATCGCTGAGCCCCGGAGATTGAGGTTGCTGTGAGCTAGGCTGACGCCATGGCACTCACTCTAGCCTGGGCAACAAAGTGAGACTCTGTCTCAAAAGAAAAAAAAAGAAAAAGAAAGAAAGCAAATTATTAATATCAGCAGTTTAAAAGAAGATACTTATAGGTCCTACAGACATTAACATGATAATAAGATGATTAAATTCCATATAAAACCAAACATATTTAGTTGGCAAAATAAAATACAGAAAATGTGAATAGTCATATACTTATTAAAGAAATAATATGTGGGCTTTAAAACATTTCCACAAAGAAATCTTCATGCCTGCTGGTGTCACTGGGAAATCCCATTAAATATTTGAAGGAGAAAATAATACCAATACAAACTCTTTCATAGAATAGAGAAAGAGGGAATGCATCACAGCGTATTTTATAAGGCTAGCATAACACTGGTACCAAAGTTTAAGAAGTACATTATTATAGGAAAGGAAAGAAAAATTATAGGCTAGTATCTCATAAGAACATAGCAAAAATACTAAACAAAATTTTTGCATATTAAATCTAGTGGTACCTAAAAAGGATAACACGTCATGAATAGATAGGGTTTATTACAAGAGAGCACGGTTGGCTAAACATTAAAAAAATTAATAAATTTGATTTACCAGTTGACAGAATCTAAGAAAAATACCATAATTATTATCTTAGTAGATGAAGAAAAAAATTTGATAAAAATTCTACTCCAGTTTATGATTTTAAGAAATTATGATTTTGTGCAATTTTTACCTTCATTTTAATCATGTGCTTATATTTAAAGTGTGCCTCTTGTAAACAGCATATAGTTTTGCCCTTATTTTATTGTTGTTGATATTCTTTTTAAATCCAGTCAAATAATTTTTGTGTTTTAATTGAACTGTTTATTTACATTTATTTATTGGCATAGTTTTAAACCCATCATATTGCTGTTTGATTTGTGAAAGTGTTACGCTTTTCTCTTTCATTTTTGTTTTTCTGTTTTCTTTTGGATTGATCATGTATATTTTTAATTTTTATATCATGTTTTTTCTCCTTGGTGTTTTAAAAATATATTTTTGTAGTGGTTAAACCACATCAGTGTTTGAATATGCATTATGTTCTATTGTAGTCTACCTTAGGTTAGTATACTTCCAGAATAATGCAAGAACCAACTTTGTAACTGCATTTACCTTCTTGTACCCTTTTGGTGTTTTTGTCATGTACTTTTACTATATATAGTATTTCATATATGCTTTTTTGTGCTTAGGGTTGACTGAATTTCAGTCTATGAATTGGTATCTTTTATCACTGTGTTAGTTTTATATTATTGTGTAATAAATACCACAAACCAGTCTGGAAGAGGCAAGTAGTGGGTTATTTCCAAGAGCCTCTAGAGAGATTATAGTCCTGCCAATACCTTGATTTCAACCTAGTGATGCTGATTTTTGTACTTCTGACCTCCAGAACTATAAGAGAATAATACATTTCTGTTGTTTGAAGTCACCCAGTTTGTGGTAATTTATTACGGAGTCACAAGAAACTAATAATGTGGGAATTGCTGGGTTCTGTGGTAACTCTATGTTTAGCATTTTGAGGAGCTGTCAAACTGTTTTCCAAAGTAGTTGCACATTTTACATTCCTACCAGTGTTGTATTAGGGTTCCAACTTCTCCAAAATCTTGTCAATACTTGTTAATGTCTGTCTCTTTGATTATCCTAGTAGGTGTGAAGTGGTATCTTACTATGGTTTGGATTTTCATTTGCCTAATGACTAATGATGTTCAGCATCTTTTTATGTGCTTATTGGCCATTTGTATATCTTTGCAGAAGTATCTCTTCAAAGCTTTTGCCTATTTTTTTAATTGGGTTACTGGTGTTGAGTTGTAAAGTTTTAGTTTTAGTTCTTAACATTGGATCACAGATTCATTTGTGTTAATTTTTGTATATGATATGAAGTATGGACACATTCACCTTTGGGAATTCTTGGCTATTACCTCTTCAAATATTGCTTCTGCTCATTCTATATCCTCTCCATACAATTGCACGCACTCTAAATGTTTTGATTGTCTCGCATATTTCTTATGATCTTTTCTGTTTTCTTCCTTCTTTTTCAATTTGTGCTTCAGTTTGGATATTTTCTATTGATCTTTGAGTTCATTAACTCTGTCTTCAGCTACCTCTAGTCTACTGTTTTACTTACTCTATCGATTTTTAATTGGAGGTATTATATTTTCAGTTCTGGAATGTCTATTTGATTCTTTTTTTGTTTGTTTTTATTGCAGTTATTTGAAATCCTCTTTTCTATCCATTTCATATATCTTTTTCTCTATTTCATTTAATTTATAATAATTATCTTAAAGTTCTTATCTGTTAACTCCATTATTTGGAGCAATTCCTGGTTTTTACAGATTCATCTATTTATTGCTTCTTTATTTTAGACATCATGGATTTTTAAAAAATCTAGATTTTGCTTTTAGTTAGTATAGTATTAACAGCATGTAGTAGGAAGGGGAGGAGTGGGGCAAGCACCAGCTCTTTTTTCAACTGGGAGTAATGATTTGTTTCCTGGGACTGCTTCTATAATGGCTGATTATTCAAGATAGACAGTCAGAATAATAGCATTAAAAGAGAGATCAGTTTGACATAAGCGATTAGTGGAATGTTGGGTATATACGTGCTTTACCTGCTAATTTAATGTGCAAATGCTCTGTGGAGATAGGCACTGAGCTAAAAATCTTCAGTGAGTGATAATTATCTTGATGTTGTGACTTAGTATATATGGTTAGGATCGATGCTATTTAGCATCAAGTATTTATTAATATTTATGATCTCATATAGTTTATAAAGTATTTGTGTTTTGAAATTGATATATGATTAGCTAGAGATGTTTTAAGTGCTTGAGTTAGTGACAAGCTTTTAGTTTAGTCCCCTAAGAAAAATGTCATTTCCTACACATTCATCATTTCATTCACAAGAAAAATTTTCAGAGTTCAGTAAATATTTGAGTGTCTTTCTCTTAAGGATGATAAGATACTAACAAAAACATTAGTGTATTATTCTAAATAGGTTCTCAAAGTTGATTATGATCATGATGATAATCCTATATTGTTTGTATTGTACTTTATTTCCTCAATTCTTGTGTACAGTGTACTTTTCTTCTTATTGGAGTATTCATTTTCTTTTTTATTAAGAACACGGCTCGATGAACTGAGAATGTTCTTAGAGAACGAGACTTGGGAACTTTGTCCAGTTAAGTCAAATTTCAGCATCTTGCAACTTCACGTAAGTTTTTCTTAAGAACAAAGAAATCTGTTTTGTAGACATCTGTTTATTTAAATAAAAAATCTACAGATATATGAAAGCATTTACAAAATAATTAGATTAAGTACAGTGCCTTATCTTCCTTCCTTGGAAGTCATTAATAGTAAGCCTCTTTTACAAGAGTGATCCTTTTATGGATCTGAAAATCTCTTTTTACAAAATTCAGTTTACACACTTCAGGAAAGCTCTTTTATTTAATAAGTCATAGTTAAAATGATTTTTTTGTTTGAATTCAGAAGAGGGCCTATTGCTATATTAAAATTTTGCAGAAAATTAATTAGTTATGTCTTGCAACTGTTTAATAAAAATGCTTATTAATATTTGTAGAATTATTGGTCAATTCTTAAAGGGATAATAGGTTATTAATTTGTGCTGCAATTCATAAATTTGCCTATAATGAGAAAATGCCTCAGAAATAGAAGAGGCACTTATAAAAATACTCTTAACTAATTTTAATGAGTTAATTGAGTCTTCGAATCCTTATCGAATAAGCAATCTGTGAAAAAGTCTTTAAATTGGTTTGATTTTTCCCTTGATTGAAACACATTGTAGATAAAAATTCCTGTGTGAAAGATTGTGTTCTACAAATGCCAAACATCAAAGTGCTGTGCATTTACTTAAATCCCTGTACAATGTGTGTGTGTTTTTGCCTTTGGAAGGAATGGCTTTCTAGAAGCAATTTTCTTATTATGGATGAATATAAAGAATACATAATTTGAAGTTTTTTGATAGGGATTGTTTTTATGCTCATACTGTGTAATAGCTTATTTCTTTTCCAGTTCTATCATATTGCTTTCCTAATATGGAAATAAAAAAATACTGGAACATGTTGATTAATAAGTGCTTTAAAGACACCAAAATTAACATTAATTTTAACTAGCACTAACAAAGTAATTATTTAACATTAAATTAACCTACAATTTAAGAATTCTGAAAGAATTAAGATAATTACTTAACATTATTTAAATTCTAAGTTTAACATTAATTTTAGAATATCTATTTAAATAATTTTATTTGACTTTTTATTTAACCATCAAATTATGTGTATGTGTTGGCTCACAAACTTGGTGTAATTATAAGACAACTTTTTTTTTTAAAGGCACTTTGAAATGTTCACATCCAGGTGAGCATTATCTCCTTTAAAGCTGTTACCTTGAAAATTATTCACAACCTAGCATTCACTTGACACATGTATTTCGGTGGATATGGTTTTTAAAACATTTGTCTCATTAATTATATTTACCACTTATTTAGAATTATAAAAATAATAGCATGATTGCTAGGCATTAATGTTAGACCTTATTTAATGTGTAGTCAAATTTTCAAAAGAAAACACACACATATGATATTTAATACAATATGTCAAAGACCTTTTAAGAACTTAAGAGTACCTTTTAAGTATCATTGAATATGAAAAAATTTAATTTAGGGATTATTCTTTTTAGATATAAGAAAAATGTTTATTAAATTTTGTGATAAATTATCAAATGAAGAGCTTTGTAATTCAAAGGAACTTTAGAGGATTATTTCAGCTTTTCCTCTGACTAGCTGTGTGATCTTGAACTTGGCACTGAATCCCTTCAGACTGCCTCAGTTTCCTCGTCTGTCTAGTGGATGGTTTGGCCCAGATGTTATAACTCTTTAGCTTTAGCATTTATAGGTCTCTCAATATACATTGAACATCTATTTTACAGATTAGGAAATTGAGGCATAAAGAAGCCAGATGACACTGCTAACATTTATGTAGAAAATTAATAGAATGTAATGGGTTAATAGCAGCTAGGAGAAGAAGACCTGCCTCAGCCATGTGTGTTTACGTTGTCTGCTTCTTGGTAAAGAAAAGTGAATGAAAGTTTATAGCCATCAATATAACAAAGAAAGACATATACTCATGCTTTGTTTTTGATGTATTTGTAGAGACTATCTTAAATGGTGCAAGCATATAAGTAAACAAGGTGCTTGGCTTAACAACAATTAGTTTTTATAAATGATTTTATTGTTTAAAATTGTACTGTATTGGGACTTTTGCTATCTGAAAATTTTTAGAAGATGTTCATATTTCTTAAGTTATTTAAAAAATTTTTCTGTGCAGTACCTTATGATAAGTCAAAAGTAGCTTGATGCAGATAACACTGTTTTAAGTGATATCATTGACTGAGTTGTCTTTAGAAAAACCTTTAAACATGTTATTTCCAAATTTATACTTTCAGGCAGCTTGAAAGATTTAAAAGTGAATAACTGAAGATGAGCATTTTTTTTCTACTAACTACATTTACATTGATGGAATATGTTTATGTGCTTGAATTTTATTGTTGTTGTTCAAAGGTATCTGGCTCCTTTTTTGATGTCTAGGAATTTAAATTCATGGAACAATCTCGTTCCCCATCCGTTTCACCTAGTAAGCAGCCAGTCTCAACTTCTTCAAAAACAGTGACCTTGTTCGAGCAGTATTGTAGTGGTGGGAATCCATTTGAAATTCAGGCCAACCACAAAGATGAAGAAACGGAAGATGTGTTGGCTTCTAATGGGGTACGTGGTGTTTTAAAAACATATTGTGAAATATGAGAATTCTTTATTTAAATATAGTCTACTCAGTAAGAAAGGTAGTTACTGGGTTTACTTATCTATCTGCTACCCCTCTTCCTACCTGTATACTTAATGTACCTATATGATATTACTCATATAGATAATGACTTTACAATATGCTTTGTTCACATTGTCCTCTTGAGCAATAAATTTGCCTTTATGTTCTTATTAGATTATGTTCTTATCAGATTACTAATGGAGTAGTAGTTTCTTCACTGAATATTTATATGATTTATTGTATAGACAGATGGGTGAGTGAATATTTATTTACACTTTTTCTTGACTCCATTCCTGGGTAACTAAGTGAGTCATTTTGTTTCATGTCCCTTTATCTAAGAGAGGGTATTTGTCTTGCTTAGTTGCCTGGCAGGGACGTTTTTAGGATTTAAAAGTACAATGTTTTAACATTTTCAGTTGCTCAAAAACAATGTTAACTAGAGGAAGTGCGAGTTAGTGGAAAGAGTTTGAAGGCAAACTATCATCTTTATTATTTATTAGCTGTGTGGCCCTTGACAAATTATTTTAATTTTGTGATCTTCATTCTCCCCATGTTTATAGTGAGGGAAATGCTTGCTTTATAGTTACCTGTAGGATGTTTTCACAATATTTCATTTGGCCTGTGATGTTTGATGGGTTCTTCTGGTCTTCATAATTTCCAGAGTGACCCAGTATGACTTTTAATTTAGATTTGATGAAGCTGAAGTAAAAACTGTTCAGATCTAACAAAAATCTGTTGAATTTTTCTCTATATTTTAGTTTTAGCATTTCTTTTTTGTTTAGTGAATATATATATTTTTTAAAATACTGCCATGAAAATATACCACTGTCATGTTTTATCATGAAGTTTAAATTATTTCATAGTAAGCCATATTTAAAATGATGCTTAGTGATTCTGTAACATTTTACCTCTATGAAATAGACTACATACACTGAAAGGAATTAAAAGTCATTCCAATTATTTTGAAATAATATTACCCCTGTAATTGTGATTTGTTAATTAAAACTTACATAGCATTTAATTCTCATTATTTGTGACAGCATATTCTGTAAAATTGCCACGAACACTGAATTAGCAAATACTGAACCATTGCTCCTACAGGAAATAATACGATTAGGTTCCTGTGAACCTCTGGTCACAATGTTTTTATTAACCTGTCAATATATAACCTTGTTTTATGTGTGTTTCTGCTTAAAGCCACGTTGTTTAGTATATCCTGTTGATTCATCGACATTGAACTCATGGCCAGCAGCATTGTAACTCATGCCTAAATGAAACTTATCTAACACACATGCTTTCTTCATAAGGCACATCATAGCTACCTTGCATGTAAGGAACACTAGACAACACTCCAGCACTATGCTCAGGGCCCATTCTGAATAGCAAAATCACCAACAAAATGCACAAAAATACAAAATACGTGGCACTAAATAGACCTAAATGAAAAGGATACTTGTTTATAGTATGAGAGCTGAAACAAGAAGGCAGAGTGTCACCTTATTTGCCCTCAGCTATGGACGTGCACGTTGCTTGACTCAGTTTTCTTGCTGTTCTGCACATGTCCATGAATGACCACAAAAACATCATAAGCATTGACTTTGGAATTACAAATAAATTTTAGTGAGCAGGCAAATTAGCAGATATTGAATCCTCTGCTGTGGAATCACGAAATTCTGTTACTATTACTAGGAAACTCTAGTTTGTGTGGAATACCTTCTGCATGTCATCAGGATCACATTGTGTGTAAGTGTAGGAGAATGTCTGTAATGCTTGTTTGAAGTTATTAACTCATTGACTGCCACACTAGAAAAAAAATTTTTTCCCCTGGGGCCACAGTGTTGTTTTTTTTTTTTTTTTTTTTTACGAAAATAGAATAAAAACTTCGAAAACAAAACGATCCTTTCTAATTTCTAAAAATTGTGTTATTTTTATTGTGTTCTGTGTGTGAGCTATATGCAACTTGAAAAATGGTTTCCAAGGTGAAGAGATGTGAGTTACATATGCTTCACGAGGCGCCAGGCTCAAAACTAGCATGAGTTAAATACAACTCCCATGGCATTTAATGTTTTAATGTGTGATCTAATCTTTTCAGTCCTGAGAGTCAGAGTCTACATCTAAATATGGCCTGTCATAATGCTTTTCATTAATAGACTCTCAAAAAATAGTTGTTGAATTAGGGGACTAACTTCTTTCTATGTCATCATACAGTTGAGTTGGTTTCCTTAACTGTCATATGGGTATAAAACTTCCTCATAGAATTGTTTGTAGGATTAAATGAGATAATTCATGAAAGCACTTGGCACAGAACTTGATTAAAAACTCAATACATGTTAGCTATTATTTAATCATAGTAAGCTATAATTGATGATGGTGATAATGATAATGCTGCCACTGCTTCCTTTGCTATGTCTGGAGTCCACTGTCCTTTCCCATGCTGCCATTGGGCCATGGTGCTATAAAGATGATAAAAGTACTAAGAAGGCACTTTTCCTGTCGAGAGTAAATCCACTATTTTTGTCTTTGCTTTCAGTAGGTCCCTGGGTGCTAAGCCTAATTGTTAAAACTGCCCTTAGAATTAAATTCTTGTAATGAATTAGATAGCATGGGTGTGTGTGTTATATGTATTTATTGTCCTGAATTAATACTTACAGAGTGCCAGAATTGGATACTCAACCCCTTTTTAATGAATTAGCAAATTATAAATAAGTATGATGAAACCTCTGGGAGACTTTATGTAAAAAAGTCAAATGTACATTCTTTTCCTCTTTTTAGGTCTAGTGGGGGTGTTTGTTTTGTTTTTGTTTTGTTTTTGTATATGGAGGTTTTGATTTTGTTGGACATTTATAAGCTTTTGTAAGAATAACATTTTTTATCTTCCTTTTGAGTTGGCTAAAGTAGGGCGATGAAGAAGAAAATGGAAGGATAATATTCTTGGTAGCAAAGTTAAAGCTAAATTATTAAGAATTTTCTTATATTTAGCTATTTCTTATAAAATTGAGTACTGTTCTTGTGTTGAAAAACCTCAAGAAAGGTTTCTCTTTCTACCCGTTGTCAAATACCCTATGTTCTTTTCAGTATGAATCTGACGAACAAGAAAAGAGTGCCTATCAGGAATATGACAGTGACAGTGATGTTCCTGAGGAACTCAAACGAGATTATGTGGATGAGCAGACAGGCGACGCTCCTGTGAAAAGGTAATCATTCTTACATTGTGTGGTATTTAGCATTTCGTCTTGTACTAAACAGCATCATAGGATTTCATTTGAAGGTTAAGAAAAAACAATAATCAAAAATTAAATGTTTCTGTGACGGAAGTTTATGTTTTAAAAAATGATTTTTACAAGCCTAAAAATGTAGATTTTTCCTTCCATAATAGTGAATTTTGAGGAAAAATAAAATAGTCATATGAAAAGGTCCATTTAGCAAAAACCTTTAGTGGCATTTTACAAATCAATTCATTTAACTGTGAGTTTGGATTTTTATTGTGTCCAAAAAAAGTCACTGGTTTGTCCATTTAAAAATTTTTAAATGGCTATATAAGAGCAGTTTCAAAGTCGCTTTTCTTTCGATTTTTATAGCTTATTTGACATGCTTTTTGCAGCAACATTCTGATTCCTTTTTTATGGTGTCACAAAGTTAAATAGTTATGTTTTCAAATCTTTTAAAAATTACTTTATTACCTGATGAAAATATTGAGTATAATCAATGAGCTTTTAATTTAGAGATGAACAGTTTTTCACAAGGAAAAAACTTTAGCTTTATAAAATGAATGCTGACTTCAGAGGCTTTACATATATCAGAAAACCTTAAGGAGGAAAGTGATAATTTGTTTTGTATGCAGAGTTCTTGTGTCAATCTAGTAAATACAGAAAGTCTCCACTTATTTTCCCAATGTCATTTGTGTTCACTATTTTAAACTTCTGTTAAGGTTCCTATTAGTGATTGAGCTTTGTTCTTTGCCAAACTGACCTCTTCAGAACTATTAATAATTACATTAGACTTCCTTTGTCACCTTCTTCTGATTAAATGGGACTGATTCTGGTGTGCTGAATGGAATTAAATACATGACTATCAGACATTTAGTGACCACAAATATACTTTCTTCTGAATGATAGGTTTAAGTATACTCTTCCCTACCCTCTAACCCAAGGTTCCTAGATAATACTTGATTAACTTGAAACCCTGACTGAAATAATTCTGTCCTTACAAGTAAACAATTCATGTGTTTGATGATATTTTAATTGGGAAAATTTGTTTCGGTTGGTGTTTATGTATGATATTTAAATATCTACAGTTATGATCTATTATGAACTGAATAGAACTATTTTGTTGGTGGTCTTCATTAGGTATATTTTGGCCAAAAGGGAAGCGCTGTTTGAATTGAAATAAACAAGTAAAATAGTGTCTGCCAGTACATGTCTATATACCTCCATTTTTGGTAGGGTTACTGCAGACTCTTAAACTACTGTCTAACTTACCCCTAAGAAGTTTGAATTATGTGAATTAGTAACTGAAGCCAATCAGTTAATAGTTACTATCAATTCTAACTTTGAAGTGTCTCAAATTTATCAATTTTCTCATATTTGACCACTACCATTCTAGTTCATGCCAAAATTGTCTCTGTGCCAGATGGTTAAATCACTTCCCTCATCTTGGCCTCTTGTCTTCAGTCTTGCCTCCCTTTCAATCCATTCTTAGATATAAATCTAGATTTTTTTCTTAGATACAAATTTAACCATGCCATCTTCTTCATTAATGTTTTTAGTGGCTCATCACTGCATACTCCTTAAGCTTAATTGCCCTCAGTGATCTAGCCTTTATTTACCTCCCCTCCTTGTCACTTTTCCTCTGCCTACTTGTTCTACATGCTGGCATAGTGACCTCCTTGTACTTCTCTGGGCACACTTTATTCTCTTTGACCTCTGGCCCTGTTACATGCTGTCCTTTTTTTCCTGCATTTACCATACAACTTCTACTTTTCTTTTTAATTTAATGCTGCCCCTCAACTCCAAACGCTGCCATCATATCCTATATTTAATGCAGATTTTAAGGAGAGCATTTTTCATGTTTATAAATTTTTGACATCAGGAAACATGTTACGTTTACATCTAGATGTATAATTTCCCTGGAAAATATGATTATTTAAAGTGATATAGCTTTTTACAGTGGTTAATAATGTCTTAGAATCAAAGAAATGCATTATGGTACATTACTTCTTTACTTATTTCTTTTCTCTCTGGACTGTAAATTCTCTTAAGGACAAGAGGTTAATCTCTATATCCCTACCTGACAAATAGGAAGATTTTCAGTAAATAATTAACAAATGAAGGATAGAGCCTAAGCTGAATAGTTTACTGGTTTATTATTGGCAACTCTAATTGTAATTCTGTTTTATTTTTCCATATTAAGTGTTTCTCGAGAAACCCTAAAAAGCAGGAAGAAATCAGATTACAGTCTAAATAAAGTGAATGCACCTATTTTAACAAATACAACACTGAATGTAATAAGACTTGTTGGTAAGTAGCTATACCTTTTATTTAAAAAAATATATATTATAGCAGTTAAATTAGTATATTTTGTTACTAAATGATTTTTACTTGGGGTTTCCATTGTATGATGGTGTCTTTCTTAGTGAGGGATTTAAGATTATCATATGTCAGTGCTTCTCATCTTAAATGTTCCAAATAGTATAATATTAATATTAATGTCAATTTCTCTTTTTCAGTTATTTATGTGTTAACTCTTTGTATCTTCCAATTTTTCTAAAATGTTTCAGTTAATATGTGCTGAAAAATTCTCTATGTAAGTTAGAAGTACACGTAGGATGATGATAGTACCAGTTTCACATATACACAATATTTTTCTACTTAATTATTTCATAGCTCTTTATAATCTTCCTGTCAGGCTGAGTGAGTAGTGATTCTCTGGCATTTTCAGACGCAAGGGTTTTATAAGGTAAATGTTCATATGGGAAGTTTTGTTCTCATTACAGATAAGACTTTTAATGATGATTTAGTAGAAGGCAAACGACATGAAGAAATGCCATTTTAAATATTCAGGTTTGATAATGATGTGAATTTTTTAATGTGAGTATTTCAACATCTTATATCTCACAAATAGGTCTGTATATTTGACAAATAAGGAGATGTCATCTCACATTAATTTTTATCTATACCAATAAGGAATTTTAGTGGTTTTCTGTAAAAGTCTCTGTATTTTATTTATGCAGATGGTTTTTACCTGTTGCCTAGTTTGATTAATCTGAGCTCTGATAAAATGGTCTGTGTTCTTTAAGATAATTTAGAAATTCCATTAATGAATAGGATAAAATGTACAAAATGCTTTTTTAGGAGTCCTATTATCTTTAGAGCAAAAGTAGTTAATGATGAATTGAGAGGAAAAGAAAAGGTATACATTTTCATGACAAACAGAAAAATGACAGGTTCTAAAAAGCTATTCTGTGACTAATTATTGCCAGGGGAATTAGCTTTTCATCTTTATCCAAGATAGCTAACTGAACATAGTATCATGAATTACTCTTTAGAATTTATTGAATCAGAATTGGAAGGGTGCTGAGAGATCATTTGATATAAACTCCCACAAAATTTTCTTTCCATAATGCCTCTAATATGTGGTGACCATCTGGCCTTTGTTTTATGACTCATAGTCACCGGAAGCATATTAGTTTGCAAGACTACTCATTCTACCATTAGACTGATCTAATTGGTAGAAATCTCTTCCCTAGAGTAATCAAAATTTTTCTCTCTCTCTGTATTCTGTCTGTCTTGTTTCTGCCCTTAAAAGCAAAAAAAGTCTATGTTTTTTTTCCTCCTATTCTTCCATGTGGTCACTTTTCAGATACATATTAGTAGTTATCCTGTCCTTCCTTTCCTCATACCCTCACCCTCTATTCCATTTTTCAGGCTCAATGTGCTTAATTCATAGGTCCTCAGTGGTAGAAATTCCAAGCCTTTAGGAATCCTTGTCCTCCTCCTTAGCCTTCTAGAGGTGGTAGTTTTTGGTGCCTGAACGCACTGATCAAGATATACTTTGATGTGGTCAGGTTTTGCTAGATTATGTTGAAGTAACAAACAACCATAATGTATCAGCAACTTTCACCCACAAGGTTTTATTTTTTACCCATGATACATATGGTCTCCTGGTCATCTGTAACTTTGCTCCGTGTGTCTTTTTATTCTGAGATGCAGGTTGAAAGAATAGCATCAATATGGAACATGAGGAGAAGAATAAGAGCCAAACCATGTTTTGCCTTTTTTTTTTTTTTTTTGAGACAGAGTCTCGCTCAATTGCCCTGGCTAGAGTGCTGTGGTGTCATCATGGCTCTGCAACCTCAAACTCCTGGGCTCAAATGTCCCTTGACTTCCTGTGACATGTCATGGCCAAAGCAAGTCAAGTTTGACAATGGATGGGAGAAGTGTGTTCCTATTCCAGGAAGCACTGTAGTTGAGAGAGAGAGAAGTGGACAGAGATGTATAATGATCTTATAGGGAATTGGGGGCCGGAATGAGTGGAGCAGATAATTGGGAAAAAGAATATAACCAGCCACATCTAAGTAGTTTTTTATATTTTTTGTCTTATCCAGTTCAAAAGAAACTAAAGGTAGTCATGTTGTTTTTTAGTTTAAAAGGCATATATACATTAGAATCAAATCAAACAAAATATAAGACTAAAACAAAATTGAGGAGGGAGGACATCATATTTTATCATATCATAAATGCAAATCTTAACTTCATATCATATTATAAATGCAACATCAAATACAACTCTTCTTGGTAGGCATAAGGAAATTGAAGAAATAATGTGTTCTACAATTCTCATTATTTGAGAAAAGGATACTTGCCCTTATAATAATGCTAGAAATGAGCTCCTGGTACTAAATTCAGAAAATAGTAACAACAGATTCTCATATAAGGATTATTGAGCAACATAGTAGACATTGTTTTTTAATAGTATTTAAAAGTAGGGCACAGTTTTTAATAAAACCTTACTCCATGAAGAGAATCTGGTCATTGTAATTTCAGCCTCAACCATCCTCATATCTTTACTGGAGTTGCAATTAGGAAACAATGCTGAGTATAATAATTTAACTTGGCTGGGCGCAGTGGCTCACGCCTGTAATCCTAGCTCTCTGAGAGGCCGAGGCGGGCGGATCGTTTGAGCTCGGGAGTTTGAAACCAACCTGAGCAAGAGCGAGACCCCGTCTCTACTATAAATAGAAAGAAATTAGTTGGCCAATTAATATATATAGAAAAAATTAACCGGGCATGGTGGTGCATGCCTGTAGTCCCAGCTACTTGGGAGGCTGAGGCAGCAGGATTGCATGAGCCCAGGAGATTGAGGTTGCTGTGAGCTAGGCTGTCGCCATGGCACTCACTCTAGCCTGCGCAACAAAGCAAGACTCTGTCTCAAAAAGAAAAAAATAATAATTTAACTTTCTTCTCATTGAGGGTTCAGATTAGGTGCTGCCATTAATCCTCTCCCTATCCTCTGTAGACTTTTAGGCCTATCACTTTCTCCCTGGGATGTATTTGTCTTCAGTTTGTACATATTCATAAAACAGAACTTTAAGGAAACCATTCTCTCAGAGGTCTCCAACTTAGTGAAATGTACTGTTTTATCCTCTGTTGTTATTGCATAGAGGTACCTGAAGATTATACACTGACACAGGCAATGCCTCTTCTTACAAAGGGAGAAGTACAATTATGTAAATAAGATAAATTTTTGGTGCCTGGGAAGATGAAGGAACTAATTATTCAGTAGTTAGGAAACACATTTTAGAACATTAAATAAAGGCATATTCAAAATGTCTTTTTCAACTAATATTTACTTGGGAGATAATTAGGAGAGTTTAAACAAAAGAATGTTAATGGGGTTTCCTTGCCCCCAGGTGGTACCTGAATCTATTAGAAAGGCTCAGGGAGGCTATCTACTAGTACAGAGGACTAAGCAGAACACTTGCTCTTGTAAAGAGAAAATCCTGTCAGCCTGATGATTTCCTGCAGACAGAGGCAGAGAAATTTTAGGGAATGTGTTTCCTCACTGAAACAGCCTTGGTAGTCAAGGTTCTCTCTCCTGGAGGCAGCTCTCACCTCAGCAGGTATGATAGGTTTGAGGAGTAGGAGGTAGGTTGCCAGAGCCGATGCTTGTAACAACAGAACCCACAACAACAAAGTTATTACTTTAGTAGCTAGAAAAATACACACTAGCACATGAATCAGCATTTCAAATGAAACTAGAATATGTACATCTAAGGAATATTTTTACGTAGTATGGCTGAGATGCAGCTTACGAAATGGGAGGGAAGATATCCACTCCTTCATTGGCACATTCTTTTTGGTGGGGCATTAATTTTATTTTATTACAGAATATTTTAAATTAAAAGGTAATGCATGAAAATGATTTTAAAAACCTGAGATGTAAGCAGAGCCCCTGGACTCCAAGTCTCCTTCCTCAGAGAACACTACCCATTTTCTCCTATGTTCTTTTGGAAATATTAGTATGCTTTCACAAGTATATATGTGTCTCCTCTCCCCTGATTTTTGTTGTTGTTTTTATTTCAGAAATTTTTTCATACTGTATGTACTGTTCTTTATCTGGCCTTTTTTTTTTTTTTTTGTACTTGAAATATCTTAATGTTACACTTAAACTATCGTAAGATATTACATATCTTAGTATGTATATAACTCATTCTTTTTCATGGTCCTGTTGTATAGATGTGCCACAATTTATTTTATACATCCTCTATTTTTGAATATTTAGATTGTTTTGAGTCCTTTGATACTTCAAATTTTCACAGCAAATACCCTTGAAGAAATATCTTTGTATATAAATGCAGCTCTAAGGTATGCTCCAAAAAATGCTTCCTCTAGCTGGATCAACATTTCCAGTTTTGATGGACATTCTCAATTTATCAATGAGATTACTAAAAAGCTTACTAAAGAGGTTCTGTTAGTTTACCCATTCACCAACAGTATTTGAGGGTATCTCTTTTTCCCAGTCTCTCAGCAACACTGTGTATTATCTAGCTTCATATGCTTGCCAGTCTGATTTGTTAAAAATGGCATCTCATTCAAAAATGTATTTAAATATGAGTGAGTTTAAGCATCTTATCATATGCTTAAAAGATATTCCTATTATTTGTGAACTACTTATTCATATCTATTGCCCTTCTTCCTTTTCCTTTTTTTTTTTTTTTTTTAAAGAAATGAAATCTCACTCTGTTGCCCCAGCTGGAGTGCAGGGGTATGATCATAGCTCACTGCACCCTCAAATGCTGGGCTCAAGTGATCCTTAGTAGCTGGGACTACAGGCATTTGCCACCATGCCTGGCTAATTTTTGTATTTTTTTTTTTTTTTTGTAGAGAAGGGGTCTTGCTATGTTGCCCAGGCTAATTCTCGAACTCCTGGCCTCAAGTGATCCTCCACCTTGGCTTCCCAAAGTGCTAGGATTACAGGTGTGAACCACTGCACCTTGCCTCACTGCTCATTTTTCTAT